CATTTCCTGCAATGCTGGTTTGGTAGTGATATGATAAACACCTTTAGCCTTTTTTTGTCTGGGAAGCTTTTTATTTCACCATCTATTTTGAATGATAGCCTTGCTGGATAGAGTAGTCTTGGATTCAGATCCTTCTTTGCATTACCTTGAATACTTCATGCCATTCCCTTCTGGCCTGTAGAGTTTCTGATGAGAAGTCAGCTGACAGCCTTATGGGAGCTCCTCTGTAGATATTAGATTGCTTTTCTCTTGCTGCCTTTAATATTCTCTCTTTGTCTTGAATTTTTGGCATTTAATTATGTTGTGTCTGGGTGTGGGCCTCTTTGGGTTCTTCTTGCTTAGGACTCTCTGTGCCTCCTGAACTTGTGTGACTTTTTCCTTCACCAGGTTAGGGAAGTTTTCTGCCATTATTTCTTCAAACAGATTCTCTAACCCTTGCTTACTTTCGACCTCTTCTAGTATTCCTATAATGTGAATATTGTTACATTTCATGTTGTACCACAGCTCCCTTAGACTGTCCTCCCGTTTTTTAATTGTTTTGGGGTTTTTTTAAATCTCTGATTGAGTGATTTTTTTTCTACCCTGTCTTTTAATTCGCTGATCTAGTCCTCACCTTCCTCTAATCTGCTGTTTATTCCTTCCAATGTATTCTTTATTTCTGCTATGTCATTCTTCATTTCTGACTGGTCATTTTTCATAGTTTTCCCATCTTTTTTCATGCTGTTGAGCATCCTTACAATCAGTATTCTGAACTCTGTATCTGATAGATTGTTTATCTCCATTTCATTTGGCTCTTTTTCTGGAGACTTCTCTGGTTCTTTCATTTTAGGCTTGTTTTTTTGTCTCCCAATTTTGGCTGCCTATTTGGGTTTGTTTCTATGTATTAGGTAGACCTGCTAGGACTCTCAATTTTTTTGGATGGTCTCTGGTGCAGGCCAATGTCAGATGCTGTTTGTAACTGGCCTTGAATACCCTGTTTGGAGCTATCAACAACCCATGGCTTGAGGTCCCCTCTGTTGGAGCTGGGTGTAGTTGGACAGGGCCAAGATACCACACTAAAGTCTGCTTTTCCAAGGCTGGGGTTCTAGAAGCAGATCAAGCAAAGACTCAAAGCACCCTGAGGTCTGACTCTGCCTGCAGGCTGATTAATCTGATTCTCTTAACGAGCCTCAGGCTATAGAAATCACCAGGTAGGGTGAGAGGTTTTCCAGCAGGGTGGGACAATTGCTTCCCCCTCAGGCAAAAGCTATTTGGAAGGTAAATATCTGCCTGAGAAAGATGTTCTCTGCAGTATGGGGCAATGACTCAGCACAGGAATCCAGATGGGTGCCCTCTGAGCTGTAGTTCCAGAGCCCACAACCCTAGATTCTCCTTACACAGCTCCAGTCCACTCTGCCCTCCCTCTGCTGGAGCCCAAGGTGAGTGGCTGCACATGAAACTTTGTGCATTGGCTCTTTAAGAGGGTGCCTGCATTTCCAGCCATCTCTCCCTGGCAGACAGAAACCTGGCTGCTTTTCACAGCCAGATGTTATGTAGGCACGTTTCTCAGTTCTAGTGCTCTTGGCTGGGAAGCCCAGCCTGGGGTTTAGGCCCTGGGGTCCTCAGTAGGAACCCCCTACAGCTGAGATATCCCTCGAGACCTTCAGCTGCTGCCTGTGGGAGCTCAGCGAGCCCTCTCATGCCTCTTCACTTCCTACCAGTCTCTATGCAGTCTCTACTTTTCCTCCTTGGTCGTGAGGGTGCTCTCCAGCTCATCTTCAGTTGCAGTTGATTATTCAGGATGTTTTTTCTATATTTTAGTTGTAATTCCAGTTTGATCCCAAGAGAATGTCAGTGTACCTTTCACTTAGTCTGCGGCCATCTTTAATCTCCTCTATCTTTGGTAACTTTTAAGCATTTCTTTCTTTGTTGTACAATACCAGATCTAGATATAAATTTTATTTTATATCCTTCTTTGGACTCTTGCATTTTCTGTCCGAGGCTTGATATTCTTTATTAATTCTGGAAAACTCTTAGCTGTTATCTCTTGAAATACAGTCCCCCTCTCCCGATATTCTCTGTTATCTTCTGGAAGCTCTGAGACATACACCGAGGGCCTCTCTGTATGGAATCCACCTGTGTAGAGCTGTGTAGTTCTAGACCTTCCCTCTGGGCCTGCTCTACCCTCCTCAGAGCCTCCTTGATCCATGCCCTTTAGAGGTTTTATCTTCTTGCTGTAGACTGGAGTAAACAGAGGGTAGATACGGGCTATGCTGAGTATGAGAAGGAATTGGGATAGCTTCTTACAGAGTTAAGAATCCCCCACTTTTACGCAGCTGTAAAGAAGAAGGTTCTTGTACCCTTTGGGACAGTATGGATGACCTGGAGAAAATTATGCTAAGTGAAATAAGCCAGGCAGAGAAAGACAAACATCACACGATCTCACTTATATGTGGAATCTAAAGAACTTAATAAACTGATGAACAGAATAGATTCAATGACATGGAAGTATAGCTCAGACTGATGAATGTCAGAGGGAGGGAGG